GGGGGGCCTGGGAAGGGTTGGGCTCCGAGTGGCCGGTTGAGGGAGTCCCTGAGTGGGAACTCATGTTCTTCATTCTCGGCTCTGATGTTCTCAATCGAAAATAACAATAGGAATCATTTGTATCTCTTTTTACTATAATTGTTTTCGCTGCTCTAACATACCGTTATTGATGCCTTCTAACTTTATAGAGAAGAAGCCTTTAAGGGCATATAAACCCATTTATTTCTTTTTTGTAATGAATGCAATGAAAATGAGCCCCCAGAAATAGTAGAACTTTGGAGGAGAAAAGAATTTAGAGATACAGTGCTGTCTGTGGTAACTTTCAATTGTAAGGATTTCACAGAACCTCTGAATCCAGTGGTAACAGGGCTATGGGGATGGTGTCTTAGAAATTGACATGCCACTTGTAAGCATTCAGTGCAGATTTGGGGGTGGTGGATTTGGTTTTGATATGATTTGATTTACTTACCTGTTCAGAATTTAAATTATGAGAATTTTGTGTGCTTTAAAAAAACATAATAAAACAAACACTTTTGAATACTTACTTCAAAGTGAAACATTTGATGAGAAGCGCTTTCGTGCTTTCAGTGGGTATTAAAACAAGCAGCCCACTGCGGCCGAGTTGGTTCCCACTCATGGAGAGCCCGCAGGCGGAGCCGGGTGCTCCCTGGGGCTGCTGGGGCTGTCAGTCTTTCCAGAAGCAGCCTCGCACCTCTCTCGACTGCGGAGGGCCCGGTGGTCTCCAGTGACCGCCGACCTTTGGGTTACAGCCCAGCACTTAACCCACTGCGCCCCTTGGACTCTTGACAATATTCAGGCAAACCAGTGACTTGGCCACATTTTGTTGTTGTTTTTAACCCCCAAAGATACAGCTACTGGGGATATACTGAAAGGTTTTTAAATTATTATAATTTCTCTTTATAACTATTTAGTAGCCTGGTCTTGTTGATCCTAAAACTAATTTAATTTGTTTGTAATCAACTTGCAAGGTGTTTAAGATGTCAGGTAAATTATATTTGTGCATGCAGTGGATATTCATTGGCAAGATGGCACAGTGTATCTTTTTCTCCATTGAAAGTGCTGCTAAATCTCAAGTATAATCTTTTAAGCAGCAGCATCTACCCATTCTTTATATTTGAAGATATTTTGGAACACAGCATTCGCTTTTCTTACTCGTGGTAAGATAGATCTCTGAGGTTTAGAAATGCATAGAGATAGGACTTTTAGTTCAAATGCCAGCGAATGTTGATTTTGTTAGAAAAGAAAGTTAAAGTAATGCTTTTTATAATTATGTCATTACCTCATAAACAATTTCTCTTAAAACATTTTTCTGTGACTAAAGGATATACAACATTAGCACAGTCTTTTATTGAGGGTAGGATTTAATCATTTTTAGTCTCATTTAATTTTACCTCTCTTTTCCCATTGGACAGGATGAAAAGATTTTATCTTGGTCACTTCCCATTTAAGAACATAAGCAATTTCACTCTAAACAAAGTACATATCCTTGTAATTTACTAATTTTGAAAAATGCTATTATTTTTCAGTGTAATATATACACAAACACAAGGGCATATGCATATCAGTAAGTAATTCTCCCTCTCTGCTGAGACAGTTTTAGGTTAGTCGTAAGCATATACTTCTCTTGACTTTCTAAAGTGCAGTCTTAAGACACGTTCTAATGCTTACCTAGCCAACTATCTGCACTGATTTGCTTTTTAATATTTATTAAAAATACCATCTATGGTAGATGTGTCTGGTTTTGAGTAGGTTCCTAGAACCGAGGACTGACCACCCTCTTCCTGAAGAGGAAGCACTAGGAAAGTTGCTTGTACCCCCTTTTGATCGTAGCCTACCTTCTGTTTTCTGTTTTGACTCCTGTACATGTTTTTAACTTCGGCTTTTACCAGTGCAGAAATTACATTTTAAAAAGAGTAAGACTTACATGCTCGCATCACCTACGTGCCGCGGTCTGACCTTGCGCACCAGAGCCGCCGCTCCCCGCCCTTGGGCCCTTGCCCTGTGTGCTGTTTCAGCACCTTCCTTCCCTTCTCTGTGAGAGCACTTCGGAAATTATAGAACACGTTTCTCCTGAACTTACGCTCCTTTGACAATGATATGATCCCTGTAAAGAATTTTGCTCATCTGGAATATGCAGTCTGTCTCAAGCAAATACTTAACCCATCCCCAAGGGAAAACTGCAGTTGAATCACCCGGAGATGAAACTTTGGCAAAGTTCAATGACCGGAAAACAGTGTTCTCCTCAGCTGGTCTAATCGTATTTGTTGTGGTACCATCAGACCTGCACAAAAGTTTGTTTCGGTTTTTTTGTGTATGTGTACATTAAACAGCACAGAAATCAGTTCAAGATTTTTTTTTCACATAGATTTCTTTTATGATAATTATTAATTTGGGGCTAATACCACTAAGGGGAAATTTATGAACGTACTGAAAACATGGGAGGCTTCAAAAAGTGTGTGCAACAATGAATAAATAGGCCTTGGAAATTCCCTATGAGCTTTTGAAAGCCTCTTTGTATATCTTTGTAATAGCTTCCCTGTCAACGTGCGCAGAACTATTCAATTATACCTGCAAATTAGAACGGCTTCCATCTACCTATAGACTTGGCCTTCTATTTGAGAACAGTTGTCAGAAATTAACTGGATTCTATAGTTCACAAGTACATCAAAGTATTTGCAGAGAGGACTGCGTTAGTGTGGCTGTTCAAAATGATGGAATTGTGCAGGTTTTACTTCCGCTTTGCTATTTGTGATTCGTTGTTGTTTTTACAATGAGCAGTACATAGTTGAGTAAGAAAATGAAACTGTAAATACTTTAAAAGATTTAAAATTAACGGAGGGAGCAGTACTTACTGTGTAGTAATTTTCTAAAGTCACTTTTGCTACCAAAGATCAGAACATAGTTTAGAGTCCTTTGATCTACCAGATCTCTCTCAACACTGTGATTTGGTGCAGATAGAAATGTCGGTGCCTTTTTGTCTTCCTGTGTGTTTCCGTGTGCCGTAGTGTTACGTGCCATGCTGAGGACCGTGGACTTGGCCGTCAGCTGGATTCTGGCTCTGTCTCAGTACCATGCGCTAACTGGCCCACTGGAGCATGCTTTTGGATTCTGGTTCTGTCAGTTGGGACCACTTCTCCTACGGCCTGGTGTGGTTGTAAGAATTCAGTGGCATAGCATTGGGAATGTTTAGTACTTAATGAACTTTTGCTAGTTACTGTCTTCGTTAATAATAATAATTTATGACCACAGACACATGGTGTGACATTTTCCTTGCAGTGTTTATAAAGGAGAATATTTTTGTGCCAGCTGATTGTTACTGAACCATAGACTTTGGTTTGGAAGAAGAGTGCAGCTTTTTAGTAGAGTTCACTGCGGTCTGGTAGAGAATATGGTGTGGTTGGAAAGAAGATGCCTGCAGTGCTTATTTAAACAAACAGCACCCTTTGGGAACTGTGAGTGATACATTTCTTCCAAAAGGGTCTGAACACACTCACTTTGAGCCACATTCCTGTAACCTGTGCCCCACAGCTTGCACCCGGAGACATCCCTTTTCAGCACCACGTCTCACTCACAGTGCTTCCCAGCCTTGAACGAACCCTCTCCGCCTGCCTTCGTTGAGCTGCAGGATGACCTTAGGCAACCGACAGATGGGTGTTGTGTCCATTTGCAGAGGAGGGAACTGAGCGTCAGCGTGCTGGCCAGGCAGCTCCCAGCTCTGCCTGCACAGCTCTCCCAATTCCCACCCCACTCCGACGGGTGGGGGGAACCTGCGGCATTCAGAGCACTTCGCTTTATGAATGCTTCCTTAAGCCTTTGCAGGATTTAAATCAAGCTATTAAAATAGTGATTTTTTCCCCCCATCTTACTGTGTACCAGGAGCTTTCCCAAAGCTCTTTATGTTTCATTCAGTTAATCCTCGCAGTAGCCGCTTGAGGCAGGTACTGCGTTTTGTGTTTTAGAGATGCAGAAACAGACATAGGAGAAACGACGCAGCAGTGCCGGGGTTAGAGGCTACTTAACCACCAGCTAGCTATCTTGCCCCCAAAATAGTTTTTGAAGCATGACTCTTTACTGTTTGATAAAGTCAATCACAAGTCCATAGACCCCCAGAAAAAGCCCAGAAGCGCAGTGTTTTGAAAAGTCAATGTATTATATTAACTTTGTGAACTTTTCAAATGTATTGTTCATTAAACATTTGGAATAGCCTTGTATAATCATTTTCCCAAAAGATCTTTCTAAAATGTAGGTGTTATCTAAAGTTTTCTTGGCTGGTGGGTATATTAAAAAATTACCTCTCCTTTCAGTATTAGCTCCAACCTTTCTATTTTAATTAGCCTTCAAAAGGTAATTAATACCTTGCCATAGACTAACTGAATTCTTAGCACAGAAGTGCCTGAAGCCCGGAAAACCTTTCCCATAGGCAAGATAATTTGTTTTTAAATAGCCAAAATGAGCTCTAGAGACATTTGGCCCATCTGTTGAAGATGCACACAATCTTCGGCTTACGTGCCCCCTAAATAGCGCCCACTTTCCGTGACTCGGATGGACTCTGGTCAGGCTTTCGCGGGGTCAGTGGGCTCTTCGCAGTGGGGTCGTCTGCAGTGCCGTCCAGTCAGCCCCAACTCCTCTGACCTGTGTGCCCCGGCCTGCGCCTCCTCCCCATTCTGCTTGAGCCTGTCGTGCAGCCACTGCGCCCGTCCCTCTCGAGTGGCCTTTCTTCGTTTCACCGACCCTCCAGTGTACCAGCAGTGAGGTCCTGCCCCACGGATGGGAGCACCCTGCAGCGCTGGGTGCCAACTACAGGGAAGAAAACAGAATGCTGCACACTTGGCTGCCCCTTTACCAAGTACTCGTGTGCTGCAG